CTATTTTTCTACCTTCATCTACTTGTCTATCTATCTATCTAACCATTTATCCATCTATTCCTCTATCTATCTATCTATCCATCCATTTAAGCTATCTAAGTCTATCTATTCTATATCATAACCATCCATCCATATATTCCTGCCTATCTATCTACTCTACCTACATATCTATCTTATCTATTCATATCTAACCATCCATCATATATTCCGCTGTCTATCTATCTATCTATCCATCCATTTATCTATCTATCTATCTATATCTAATCATCCATCCATATATTCCTCTATCTATCTATCTATTTACATATCTATTATCTATCTACTACATCATTACCATCAACTGTATTGTTATATTGATCATCATCATCATTATTATTAATTATTATATCTTATTATATTATAACATATCTAACCATCCATCCATATATTCTTCTATCTATCTATCTATCTGTCTATCTATCCATCCATTTATCTATCTATTATAGCAATATCACCATCCAAGCCAATATATTCCCTCATGTCTATCTATCTATCTCTCTATCTATATGCAACCATACATATCCACGCGAATACAGTAGATGGACAGAACGACTCTATTGCTCTTTCCAAGTTGAGAAGTGACACCCACTCAGCACTGCCAAACTTCCCTAGTTCCTCTTAACCATCCACTTATTTCCCCTATCCCTTCTTCCTCTTCCTTTTTTTCACTCTCCCCACTTCCTATTTACCCTTTGTCGCTAACTGTTGTCTCTATGTTTTTTTTTATGTTTTTTTCTCTCTTTCTCCTATTCCCTGTCCTTTCTTTCTAGCTACTTTCCTATTCTTTATCCCCTTTCCCTCTTCCACTTCTCCTTTTCGCATTCCATATACACTCGTCTCTTCATCTCTCAATTCCTTCTTCTCTCTACAGTTTCTTTTTTTTTACTCTTTTTCATTCTCTCTTCCCTTTCTATCCTCTTCGTTCTCTTGGTGCTTTCTCCTCTCCTCATTCCCTTTCTTCTCCCAGTTCATTTCATTCTATTCCCCTCGTTTCCCTATTGCTCATTCCTTTCTTTCTGTCGATGCTCTTCATTCCCCTTCCTACTCCCCTCTTTTCTCTCCATTCTCCCCTCTTCCCTACTTCCCCTTCTTGTATTTCCTCTCCATATCTCCTTCCGTCTCCCCTCTCCTTCTCCAGACAACCTCGATTCCCTATGTTCCCCCTTCGTTTTTCCTTTTCCTCTTGTTTCCTCCCCCTCTTCTCTCCTTCCCTTCCCCTCCCCATCCGACCTCAATTCTCCCCGCTAAGTCGTATCCCTATTCCTTCTTGTTTCTCACCTTCCCTTTCTCCTCTCCCTATTCCTCCCCCTTTTTCCCTTCCTCCATCCCCTCTCCTCCCAATCGATCTCAATTCTACCCGCTCACTCCCATCCTTATTTCTTTCTTCCCATTCCCCCTCTCCTCCTTTTTCCATTCGCCCCCCTCCTTCGTTTCCCCCTCCCCTCTTCCTCTCCTCTTCCCCTCCCGCCCATCCCTCCCCTTCTCCTCCTCTTCCCCCTCCGTTTCCCCTCTCCCATCCCTCCGCCCATCCATCCCCCCTCTCCTCTCCTCTTTCCCCCTCCCTCATCCCTCCCCCCCTCCCCCCATCCCCCTCCATCCTCCCCTCTCCTCTTCCCCTCCCCCATCCTCTCCCCCTCTCCCCCTCTCCCCACCCGATCTCAATTCCCCCGCGCGAGACAGGCCGACAGATCAGAGCTGCTGACTGGGCACCGGAGTCCAGCGAGAGTTCATCTGCATCTGCTTGTTTGGTGTCACGTTAGCGAAGCCCTCTTGTCCCACTCAGCTATTCGTGTGACTCTCTCAGCTGTTTTTGGTGATTTCGTTGCCGGTGTGGAAATGTGTGCGTGGCCCGTTCGCTTCGTTGTGAGTTCTTTGTTTGTCATGAGGATGGTGTTTTGGGTTTAGCGTTTGGTTGATTGTTTATTCTGTTTATTTTTTTTTTTTTTTTTTTTTTTTTGAATGTTTGATAATCGTATTATCTATATAATAACCGGTAAGAACTACGATTAAAATCCCACATAGGATAAGATCAACATACCACATCACCATACCTCAAATTAACCACCCCCATACTCCAAATACCAACCATACCCCAAAATACCCCCCACCATTACCCCAAAATACCCAATCATACCCCAAAATACCCCCTAGCATACCACAAAATGCCCCCTAGCATACCTCAAAATACCCCCTAGCATACTCCAAAATACGACCCTAGCATACCCCAAAATACCCCAAACACATACCCAAAATACCCCAAACCATAACCAAAATACCCCCTAAGCCATACCCCAAAATACCCCTACCCCCAAAATACCCCAAAATACCCCTAACCAACCCCAAAATACCCCCAACCATACCCAAAATACCCCCAACCCAATACCCCCAAATACCCCCAACCATACCCCAAAATACCCCCAACCATACCCCAAAACACCCCCAAAAATGCCATCATACTCAC